CGCACGTTCAGTCAGTAGTAGCGCTTGCTGCTGCTGGCGCGCGATTAAAGAATCGCGAACATATGCGTGCGCATTTGTTAAAAGAGGGTCTCACGTACCTGCACAAGCCCCCTATGACTTCTTTCTCGGTTTTCCTGAAATGTTGCAAGGAAGGCACCTTCTGAGCTGGTACCATGAAATACTCCATGCTTCCCCGCTTCTCTCCAGCTCTGGCTCCTCGATTCTTCTTGTACTTTATCGGTTTAAAAACAAAACAGCGTCTTCGTGTCTCTTTCTCATTTAAGAAGCAGTCCTGTGCGTGTCCTGCTGATTTCGGGCATGAGCGTTGAGTTGTAAGGCTCCTCTACTCTTCCAGCTGATGGGGTTCCCTCGTAGTGTGTGTGGCGCTCGCTCGCTCGCGCTCGTTCCCTCCCTCCTTCTGCATGTGTGTGTTTGCAGCTGATCGGATGCATCAGAGTGCGAAGTAGAAAATATTGACTTTCCTGAATGCTCATTCAAGCCCATTGTCTCTAAATTCGAGCCCCTGGAAATCTCTGCCTCGCACGGTCACATGCGTGCTTTGGCCGAGGAAATCGAACCCTAATTGAACTTCCTCCCTGTCTGGGCATCTCACGGGGTATCTCTGGAAAGCCTCTCTTATCAGCAGCGCCTCAGCTGCATGAGGACAAACACGGGGAACAATTGTGAGGGGAGCGAGAGAGGTTTCCCTGCTCGCTTACTTGTGTCCAAGCGGCTCTAAACCCAGCAAACAGATCCAATGCCAAAATCACAACTAGAGCCAACTGTGGAACCAGAGATACGCTCAGATCAGCCGTTTCCAGCCATATGCATTGAATATGACCCAGCTTCTTTTATATGAAAATAAAATGGTCAAATGAGTGTTCAAATTTCAGCATGGGGTGAGAGACTTTGCTTGTGTGTAATTAAAGCTGCCTTAAAAAAAAAAAAATAAGCAGTCCTGTGCGTGTCCTGCTGATTTCGGGCATGAGCGTTGAGTTGTAAGGCTCCTCTACTCTTCCAGCTGATGGGGTTCCCTCGTAGTGTGTGTGGCGCTCGCTCGCTCGCGCTCGTTCCCTCCCTCCTTCTGCATGTGTGTGTTTGCAGCTGATCGGATGTCTTTCAAGGCGGGAAACAGCTGGTAGGAATCACACACAGCGCTGCACTACCAAAAAGCCTCCTTCCGCCGAGCAGGACTTGCATGTAAACAAAGGAGTATTGCAACAGCATCCGAACATCGACCGTGTTCTCCTCGAATCAAGTTTCATTCATATTGCATGACAGAAAGGCTCTTGGAATGGATGCATTTAAATATCTAACATACCGTGCAGATCCTAAATGCACTGGATGCGTTAAATATAGTGTTTTTATATATTGCACTTAAATACAGTGTTGTTTCATGACTCATGCACCTAAATATAAATTAAAGCATAATGCATATCTTAAAACATTGATCTAGATCTAATATGGTCCGTGCGTGTCCATTTAGAAGAATCAGAATCAGAAAGAGCTTTATTGCCAAGTATGTTTGCACATACAAGGAATTTGTTATAGTGTCACAAGCTTCCAGTACACAGAGACAACAACAACACACAGATAATACAAATAAGATGTGAATAAAATACACATGCATAAATATAAACCACAAAAAAAGAATAAATTGGTGTGCTATAGATAGAATAGGAATAGAATAAAATAAAATAAAGGTGTAGGGATGTACTAGGATTTAGGGTGATAAATAAGTATAAGGTTATTGCACATACTATAATTGCACAATTAAAGTATGTGCAATTGCATTTAATTTAGTAAGCTTTTTTTTTAAAGCATGAACCTAAATATAAATCAATGCACGTGTATTAAAATATGAATATCTGTGTGTTGCATATTAATATAATTGATCAAGATCTGTTAAAATTATGTTATTTTTATAGGCTAGTTTAAATTTTTTTTTAAAGATCATTAATTTAAAATTATTGATCTAGATCCGTTAAAAAGATCAGTGCATTCAAACGGGTTATATTATAGCCTAGCTTTTATTTATTGCTTTTGTTCAAGCAATAATATAGAATTATTGATCGCGATCTGTTAAAATGATGCAGGTTATATTTTTGTAAGCTAGCTTTTATTTATAGATTTTTTTTTTAAAGCATTAATCATATATTTACGGTTTACCATATGTAAAATATCAGCGCTCAGAGCAATGCATAATGCATATCTTAAAATCTTCTGTCTAGATTATTGTATTAATAAGCGCGCGTTTCACTTTAAAGCGAATACGTTAAAAATCAATGCGCGATATAATTCGTAATGAATGATTATATCGCTCTAGGTCTGTGGTGTTGCTTAGTGAATGTAAACAGGCTCTTTATCTTTGACTAGTCTGGGGGGTGAAACATGCGGGATCAGCTGACAGGCTGGCAGGGCTTTACAACAACACCACCACCAACCGGAGGAGGAGGAGAGAAGAGAGAGGGCTGACACTCAAACACCATTTTGGGTGCATTAAAGTTGTAGTTGTAGGAGGAGGAACAGGAGTCACCTAATCGCATGCTCGAAGCACAAATCACACACACAGACAAAATGGGAGCGGTCATGAAGAACCCGGAAATGTGTTTCACGGTGACTCAACCACACGCTGAGGGCGAGGACGAGAACGAACATGCGAGGCTGTGATATACGAACACAAGCTCATGGAGGAAATGACACTGTTTAGATATTTCACCTCTTACAAGTTCTGCATAACTGTTTCTGTGAAGCTGCTTTGAAACAGTCTGTATAGCGCTATACAAATACATTTGAACTGAATGGAATTAATGTCCACTTTGAATGTGTTTTATATAAAATATGATTAAAAAAAATTATACATAATTTTCTTCATAATATAGTAAAATAATATTTAGTATAATAATACAATGATACAATCAAAATATATTTTTATAAAACGTTTTTATTCAGATTTCTAATAATGATTATATATTGCCATACCTGTCAACATCCGGGTATCAAAATACGGGAGACCGTGGTGGGGCGGGGTCAAAAGTATCAATTATTATATTATATTATTATTAATTTATTATATTAATTTAAACAATTATTATCAAACAATCATGTGTGTTTGGCAGTGTTAGATTGCTTCTGCTGTCCTCATTTGTAAGTCGCTTTGGATAAAAGCGTCTGCTAAATGACTAAATAAAAATAAAAATCTTAGTGTAGGCTTTATCTTTAGAGTTTTGTAATTCATTATCTTCTTGTCGATCCACCGGTTCACAACTGCTTGTTTTCGGTGTAAAAATAAGGGTCGTTTTTGTTTTTGGTCTACTCTAAACTAAACAAAGAGCGTAAGGGTTTATAGAAAAATACAAATTCATGCTCTGCCAGCAGGTGGCGCTTTTCGCCAGGAATATAGCCGTTTCCCCGGTAACCGCAGTAAACAAAGCAGTGCAGCAGCTGACTTTGAAACTTGCAGCGCTCATTTTTAATCAATTAAACCATAGCCTTTTGAAACGTAAGCTATATCTCAACATTGTTTTTTTTTCACCGGAGCACCACCTGAGTCTTCTCCCATTTCTACCAGCCTCCTGCAGTACTACCTGCGCAGATATTAGCATCACTGGGTTGTAGGTTGCCAAGTTGCGGGGATAAATCAGTTGAAATTTGTATGTGTCGATTCTGTGAGAAAGTTGCGTTTCATACAAGATCTGGCAACAACCTTGGAATTTGTTGACGTGATTATTCGTATAATGAGGTGGGCCACACAAATTACGGGAGTTTTACCGGAAGCGAATGTAGCAAACATATAAAATACAACCAGTGGGATTTTCTTTATAGAAAGATTAAAAATACGGGAGAATCCCGGGAAAAACGGGAGGGTTGACAGGTATTGCTGTTACAAATTCTACAACTAGAATTCATTTATTACCAGCAATTCATTTATTACCAACTGCTAGACTGATTTCACGGGGTTCAATGCAGATTTTATGCAGAATTATTCCCCAAAACAATATATATATATATAAGGTTGGGATTGTTTTGGGGAATAATTCTGCATAAAATCTGCATTGAACCCCGTGAAATCAGTCTAGCAGTTGGTAATAAATGAATATAAAGGAGAAAGACATACATCATATGATATAAATAATGCCAGAAATATAAATAATAATAAATATATTAAACAATATATATTTGCTGAGTTTGACCATTTATTTATTTGGGGAAAAAAAGGCAATAAATTAACATTTAATACATTAAAACTGCTGCTAATGCAGAGGTATAATCATACTTAAGATAATGATTACTGCAGAATTAGATCTTTTGTTACAGGTTTTTATTAGCCTACCTCCAGAGCTGGGTGGATTATTTACAAATTATAATCCGTTACTGATTGCAAATTACATGACAAAAACTGTAGTTAGTAACGTAATCCGTTACATTACACATATTAGGTAATATAATCAGACTACTTTTAGATTTTTTGATTAGGATACTTTTAGATTACCTTTGACTTGTTTATCACATTGATTTAAATATAGGATAATCTTAAAGGATATAAAAATGCAAATAAAAAGAAAATATATTCCATTTGTTGTTATTAACAACATAAAGTGCATTAAGCATTACGTCAATGTTTCCCAAACTTGGGTTCGAGAGTTTAATGAAAAACGAATAATAATCATAAAAATGTAAATTCAAATAAATAATTTTAAAATAACATCCATCAAAATAAAACACTTACTAAAAAATGAAATATTTGATTTGTTTAACTGCATGTCATGTGACTATTAACTAAGAGAACCGTGAACATGCAAATGTGTTACTTAATTATTAACTTAATGCCTTAAAATCTCAGGGGTGCATCAAGTAAATATATATTAGGTGCATTACATGTTATTAAAGAATAACGTGAATTTGTGCATGTTAATGTGTTTGACAGACAAAAGTCTTCCAAAGACATAGTAATACATGATTAAATAACACACTGAGTGATAATTCAAATAAAAATGTATGTATTCATCAGTAGTTGATGCAATGTTGAAATGCTGAGAAAACACTTCTGATTTTTGTAAATCCAGTGGTCAAATGTTGCGTGGCGTCTCAATATTCTGTGTAATTATAGCCACCTGACATATGGTCTTTATGTGAATGTCCACAAAACTGGCAAAGTGGCAGGCTATTTTAGAAAGGAACATTTAAAAGATGAAAAAGATGAATTAGGGAGAATCAATCAATTATAAATAATGTATGTGCTATTGTGTGAATAACATGTATTAATGTAATCAATGAAAAAGTAACTGTAGTCTGATTATGAGTATTTAAAAATGTAATTTAATCTAATTACAAGTACTTAATTTTTGGAATCTTATTACGTAATCCAGATTACATGTAATCAGTTACCAGCTCTACCTCATAGGCTCAACTAATATAAATAATATAAATAATATAAATTTGTCCGTATTAGTTTTGCTTTCAGTCCATTTCTCTGATTCCACAGAAACAGCATCCTCTATTTATCATCAATATATGCTTAAAATGGACAATTCGCATATGTACAGACATAATACTATTTTACTGATTTTTTCTTTCTGTCCTCATGCTGAGTATCAGTGCAGCTTTGGGCAGCTGCCATCTAGTGGTCACCCAGTTCAGCTCTGCCACACACACACAGATTCTGGGGACGTCTACAGCTCAGGAGATAAGAAGGAAATGTAAATATTTTAAAATAGCAAGGGTAAAATAAAGTAAAGGTGTGTTAGAATCTGATGTTATGCTATTCTAATATCAGACTCTTAGTAAAATCAAACTTGAATGAGCCTGGAAACTGAACATCATCATACAGATCAGCTCAACAAAATGTATACAAGTATGGTAAATTAAATCTATGTTATGATATAATGTTCAAGTCGTTGTCTAATTACTTACAAATAAAGTTCCAGTCACCAGCCACCACAAAAGCTTTCAGCTGAAATCAAGCAAAAACTCATATTTACCTGCGAGATGAAACCTCAGCAAGTGAAACCAGACACAAACACAATCTTCATGTGTTTCTTAAAACGATGTACACACTCTGTAAACCGTGCAAACATAAAGTTGTTACCTTAAGGAACTCCCTGAAGTCTAAAATTGCTTTGTGTGTGTGTGTGTGTGTGTGTGTGTGTGAACTGTTGTAGCTAGATTGAGTCATTCATATTAAATCAAATTTCTTGACTTCAATAAAACCAATTAATTTAAATAACTGACAGAACGAGAAAACTTTGTTTTCTTCAATGTACTTTGTATTTAAATATATATATTTTGGCATTTTGAATTTTCATTTTTATATAAAATTTTCAATATGAGTATCAGTATTATTATACAAATGTAATATTATATGCATTATAATATATAAATCTATATATTTTTTAAATAATTGTAGAAATGAATATATATAAATATAAACTATAATTATAATTAAAATATTTAATTACGTTTAATTAATTTATATGATCAAAATATATGTATGATATAAATGATACATATCTATAACATAATTATACATGATGTAATACACCAATAAAGAAACATATTGCAAGTACTGATTTTAATTAATTTAAAAAACATAATATTATATTATATTTTATATTAGTATGAATAATCTCAAAGAAATTAAGTAAGAGTGTCCTCTATGCTAGACCAAGATGAATAGATCTGAGGAAAGGGTCTAAGGAGGTAATGTTTATTAAAGCTTCGGCGATAAAAAGCTTTATTACCATGCCAATAAAAATGTTGAGAGCGCTGGAGGGAGGAAGGGAGGGGAGTTTGTTTGGACGGGAGCCCAGGACGGCCTCCTCAGCGCTAGATGGGGCGGAGCAGCACACATGCGCTGAGCTGGCAGAGTCACAGTCAGTCAGGGCTGATCCCTCCGCCCGCTGCGCCCGAGGAGAGGAGAGGAGACACGGACAGGCTCGCGTCCGGGGTGCTGGAGACCCACCTCACCACACACTGTCTCCAAGGACAACATTAAGGCCCAAGGACTGGAAACGACCTGAGGAAATCGCAAACTCGACACGGAGACACCATCCGGACACGAAGCTGAAAAAGGGGGACGTCTCCTCTCCATCGCCTTTTGCGCACGACCTCCCATTAAAAACCCCTCTGGACCAGCGCCGCCAGCGTGCACCTTGATGCCAAGACAACGATCACTCCGATCGGTTTTTGTTTGTTTTTGTAGCGCATCATTCTTAAGCAGTCATTCCAGAGTCGATAATAACAGTACGGACACTGTGTTCACACACATGCATTTAACGGGTTTCTTCTTCATGAGAATATCCTCATGGCCTGAAACTGACATAAACTATTAAATCCGTCGCATTCACTCTGGATTGACGCCTTTTTTTTTTTTAATCCTCGCATGTCTTGAGTTTTCTGCTTTCTCGAGCACTGTCATGCGTGTCCAGACAACAGTCTGATGCTTTCAGACAGCAGTAGGTTATTCAGCCACTGGTGACAGTGTCTTACAGGTCCCTTTAAATAATCTGCCGGGCCTTCCTTAAAAACTGACTCCCTATTTTGCGATCCAAAGGAATTGGAGCAAACATCCCCCTTGGAAAGTTTAAGGTGGAGACCAGCGCTGGGCCATAACACATCCAGGAGGTTTTACAGAAGGTAAGCTAGTCTAATGAACTCAGATGGCACTGTAACCTTGCATCATTGATCTCCAGTGCATTGCCGTGCCAATATAAGCGTGCATATTTAGTTTTGTCCCCTGAGCACGGTCACTCAGGGTAGCAGAAAGACCCTGACCTATTTTCCAAGAGTGTGTTCTTGGTTTATGCCCCCGGTCTGTGTGATTTCTTAGGAGTTGATGCCTGTAGTGCCTCCAAAGAATGAGAAACGGTGCTTCCACTAATGCACTTAAATAGCAGACAGAATGTCTGGAAGCATCTAGTAAATCTAGCATTATGTGATGAGTTGGTTGTCGTTTTCATATTCTAGACTAGAAATACTTCATATGGGGCAGGATGCAAATAAAATGCTTCATATGGGAAAGGATGCATGCGAAAAAAACTGAAATATTGCATCCAAATATGATGCATTCTGGCAAAGTTACTGTTATTGTCCATAGAGGCTGAGGCCTGGACATAAAGCAGTCATCATCCAATTAGGCAATTCCAGTGTCCCTGTGCTTAATTGTGAGCACATTGAGATGTGGTTTGGAACAGAGCCCATCCTCATTGGCTGCTACACATGGGGCCATTGATAAAGAAGATGCCTGACAGGACACAGTTAACCAACTGCGAGAGGGGCATCTCGGACAAAAATGCTCTTGAATAAAGCTTGTGCATGGGGTTGATTTATTAATTGAGCCTGGTTTGTATTTGAGAGGTGATTGCCTTCATTGAAGCCCAAGCTGGTGTAGTTTGTCCAATGGTTTGCATGACATTTGATCTCTTCATGTTGTGCTTTTTTGTTTAGAAATGCATGCATTGATGAAATTACTGTTGAAATTGCATTGAGACGCGCCTAAAGTGACCCGGACTGGCCAGATGTCATTCCTTGGTGAAATCCAGGCCTTTAAACTGACAGAAAGCAGTGCGTGTATGTGCACAGCTTTCTGCCTTATGCCGCTGTGCAAACATCTCATATTATTGCCGTTGAGTCCTCACTTCAACGTATGCTCTCCTCCAGCTGTGCGTGCTGGCGCGCGAAACCGGCAGCTCTGCGATAGGACCGCCTGTTTCACGAAGTGCTCAGAGATATACTGGAAAGAAAGGCTTCTGGCTCACATATGAAGTGAAGCTCCGTAAGCTAAAGCAGAGCTGAACGTTGTAGAAATCTGAGATCTTGGCACGCCGAGGCTTTGGCGTACTTTTGTGAGGGGTCTGGCCTGTGAATATACTGCTTGTTCCTCTCGATGCTCAGAATGGTTTGCCAAATATGACCCACCCTGAAGCGCTTCTGTGAATTCATGCCCATTACGCTCTCTAATGCTCAGTGAGTAAAGAGGGGCCCCGGCCTGGTCTTTACTCAAATGTGGGGCCAAACAGAGAGAATACGCGAGGCTTAGGACACGTTCTTATGTGTGCAGGCTGCAAGGCCTAAACACAACATTTGACAAAAGACCAAAAGGAGTGCTTGGTTTGGTTAGCGTTTGAAGATGTTTGGGAGAGTTTTACCCATGAATCGGTGGAACGCCAGCTCCATGATCAAACGCTGGGTCTATAAAACTCCAAAAAAGCTCCATAAAATTGGTGCACTATATGCAAAACCTTCTCAAGACAACTTTGTGTGAGAAATAGACCGATATTTAAAAGCATAGTTCACACAAAAAAGAAAATTCTGTCATGATTGACTCATTCTCAAGTTGTTCCAAACATGTATTACTTTTTCTTTCTTCCGTGGAACAGAAAATAAGATATTTTGGAAAATGTTTTAGCCTTTTTTTGTTCACACTTATAAAAATAAATGTTTTTTTATTGGCATCTATATGGTTCCAAAAAGAACCCTTAACATTCGTGGAATCTTTCCATTGATCAGAAGTTTCTTTATAGTAGAAAAAGGTTCTTCGGATAATTCAAATGTTCTTCAAACTAAGAAAGAAAGGTTTTTTTAAGAGCTGGATCCTCTATGGCAACACTGCTTTTGGTTCCTTTATTTTTAAGAGTGCATACAATAAAAGTCAATAGAGTCCAATGGGTTTTTGACTCCAGATATCTTCTTTGTGTTCCAGGTCATACAGGTTTGGAATGACATGAGGGTAAATGATGACAGAATTTTCATTTTCAGTCACACATTTCATTGAAACAATCAAAAAGTGTCATGCCAGGTTGGAAGTCAATAATGAGACACTTGAGAACCAGAAACACCATTGATGTCAAACTTGGTGCACACACACTCTTAAAAATAAAAAGCTGTTTAATTGGCATGGATGGTTCCATGAAGAAATATTTATATCCACATTCTTAAAAATAAAGGTTCCAAAATGTGCAACGTGTGTTTTTTTGCAGCAATGCCATGGAAGAACCATTTTGGGTCCCCTAAATAAACTTTCAGTGAAATGTTTTTGAAAATAACCTTTTTTTATAGTGTAAAGAGCATTTTTATTATCTTAAGAACTTTTTTCCACTATAAAGAACCTTCTGTGGAATGGAAAGGTTTCATGAATGTTAAAGGTTCTTCATGGAACCATCAATGCCAATAAAGAACCTCTATATATGGAACCATTCCATTCCACAAAAGGTTCACTCTAAAAAATGCTGGGTTGTTTCAACCCAACTTTGGGTCAAATATGGACAAACCCAACCGTTGGGTCAAATTTTTACATTAAATTTTTAACCCAAAAGTTGGGTTAGTCCATATTTGACCCAAAGTTGGGTTGAAACAACCCAGCATTTTTTAGAGTGTTCCTTATAATTGGAAACAAGGTTCTTTGATGAACCCAAAATGGTTCTTCTATGGCATCACTGTGAAAACCACCTTTTGGAACCTTTATTTTTGAGTGTCAATCAGATTCAACTTAAATTGATCTGTTCAGTCTGTTCCTCACACAAAGTTATGACTTGAAATATAATGCACAAGCATTTTTCGGACTTTCACCATTACGATGAATAGAACTATTGATAACATCTTCTGAAAACAGATTTGGAAAGACGTGAGTAAATAATGGCAGAATTTAAATTTGAGTGAACTGTTACTTTTTATTTGTGCCATTTTCTGTTCGTAATTGCTAGTCTGCGCACCAAAAGTGCATTCTTGGGTGTCTCTGTTGGTTGTTAAATATCTAGTAGTACCAAGTAATTTGCTTTGTTTTTTTTGTGAAGCCACAATTAAACAACCCTTAAGGTATTTAGAGGCTGCAACCCATACAGGGCATTCAGCCTTCGCACTGACACCTGTGATCCTCCAACGTGGGCTAGATTTACAACCTCAGGAGGGTTCGGCAATGGAATCGAGAGTATTGAGAGTATGAGATGGTCTCGGTGATGGGAATTTCAGACGGCCTTCTGCATTACTTCAGGACAGGGACAGCTGACATCCTCTTGGAATAAATGTTTAGCATTTGCTAAAAGGTGGGAGGAGGGTCTGGGGAGGTCAGTTCGGCTGGGAATTTAACAAAGACCGGAGGAAGAATCCTGGAACGTAGAATTCCACACTGAAACGATCAGAGATTCCAGTAAGATTCAGACTTCTACACTCTTAAATATAAAGGCTCTTTTTTGGCATCAATGGTCCCATGAAGAACCTTTAACATCCATGGAACCTTTTAAATGCACAAAAGGTTCTTTATAGTGAAAAAAGGTAAGAAAAACATGGTTCTTTTCACAAAAAGGTTCTTCGTGGAACCAAATATGGCTCTTCTATTGGATCACTATGAAAAGTCCTTTGCGGAACCTTAATTTTTAAGAGTGTAGGATGAAAAGTTGTCTAATAAAGGCATTATATATTACGAATATTGTTGGCTCTTTGACACGTGGCTTTTGTTCCTCTGTTTGGATAAAAGCATCTGCTAAATACATAAATGTGACTGTTTATTGTAGTTCTGTAAAAGTCGTTTTGTTTAAATGCTTCAAATGCCACAAAACGCTGTTTTAAAGACAGCTGTTTTTGTGCAGAAAAGAGCTGCGCAAACAAACTCTGGTCAGGGCTGATAGGAGTGCAGAGTCACACGGGCTCAGTGAAACCAGTGAAACCACCCTCTCTCACTGGGCTTGGACCGTGCATTTTTCTGCAGTTAAACTGCAACCACTAATCACAGCGTGGCCTCACCGTTTCCTCTTGGAACGTTTCGCTCACGTCCTCCCTGCTACGAAGAGCCCGGTCCCTCCCCAGCCCAAGGACCCCTCGCTCTCTCTCTCTCTCTCTCCCCCCTCGGCACCTTCACGAGACACCCGAGGATGGTCCACGCCACTTGTCCCTGCGTCTCTGAGCCGCCAAAGGCATGCAAGCCCTCCAAAATAAACACAGAAGGAGTTCTGCGTCCACACACTTTCCACTTTGTTTTCTTTTATGTCTTTCAGCCACTTACTTTCTCCTTACAACCACTGCAACAAAATGAGAGGAAATTTGACAGAAAAAAACCCCAAAAGAAGTTCTTAGGTCAAATGTAATGAGTTTATAAGTCTTTCTAGATCTATCTATCTATCTATCTATCTATCTATCTAATATAGTTTAATTTTATGAAAAGAGAAAGAGGGCAGGGAGGGAGGTAAAGCATTTCAGAAAGAGAAACAAGGCTCTCTCAAGTCTGGGCTTGGCTCCGTGTCCGGGCAAATTCATTCCTGTCAATGTGTGTGAGAGTCCGAGACTGCCGCCTTCTTTCCATGATCCGCTGTTCCCTGCAGTTACTGTGGAGCTGTACGTCACGTCTTGAGTTTGAAAGAAAGATGAAGCAAATGTTCATGCGTTCTGCCTCATTATATAGTGATCAGAGGATACGACTCTTTCCCAGTCCTCCTGTCCCACTGCTCTCGTTCATATCTCTGGTAACTTTGGCACACGGCTGCGACTGTTGGCCAGGAATCTTTGGTACTTTTTGTTAATTCTACAGTGAATTGTAACTCACTGTCAGAGTCTACTCTACTATGAACAAGAGGGGTATTTCCTTTAATAGCTTTGTGGTGAAAAAACGTGTGAATTAACAATGTAAAAGCTTCAATGCATTCACT